AAAAAAAAACCCAGTTACTTTTCCAGGATTTTATTTTCACTTCTTTGACTGGTACCTTGAGGCTGAAACGGAAAGACTCACTGCGCTAGGTCTTTAAAGTTTTTTCAAGTTAATTAGTGCATTAGCAGACACTTTTAATCTAAACTCTTCTGTTTGCTCATTTGGTCACATTATGGGATTGCAGTTCCCCCTCCCCCTCCTCCTCTGAATTTTCACTCAGTTAGCTTTGACCATTGCTAACTTTATTTTTGAGAAAAACATTAAGCAAAAACCTGGAAGCTTTCGGTGGTACTGCTGTAGCAAACCGGCATGTATTCAGTTTCTCAATTTCCATTTGCATTCGAGCTGCTTGTTTTGCTTTTGCAAGCATTACCTTCGTTTCCTCTTCTAATACTTGCCGCTTTTCTTCTGCAAAATTAACGAGGAAAGAATTTCTGCACTCAGCTCGTAAAGAATACCGGTTTCGCTAACCACTCTATTATAATGTTACTTTAGAAAAACAGTGCCTCACTGATTTGTTGCTTTCTTTAGATCTTAAATCAATAGCATTCCATGAAGTCGAAATCTCATTTACAACTCGCTTCTCAAGCAACTGAAAGATCAAAAACTACAAACAGCCCCGCCAGTCGGTGGTTGCGTTAAGCAAATGCAACCTTCGACTACTGCAGTTCTCCTTCTCGTTCTACGCTCTCCTAGTGGAGTGGATCCGTATGAAGCTGCTTAAAGTATAGGAAATTTTCGACTTTTATTATAAATATAGATGCAGATTAGTAGGCGCAACCTCAGTTTAAGAGTCATCTGGAAAAAAATTAATGTCTAGAAAAAGCACCAAGGGTTTTTTGCAGCTGAGGGGTTGTTTTGCAAAAAGAAAGTAAGACAACAGAAAAGCAAGAATTTGTCACTCTCAAACGGTCCAAAGTAGTGAGAAAATGGATGGAAGAGGGGGAGGGTGAGGGAAAGGGGTGGGGGAGGGGGAATGCCAGGGAGTCTGGGGGCTCGAGGCAAAAAACTCGTCCTTGTGCCTCCTTGGCAAATACCTGTCGCTTCAGGAAACAGCACAGTTGATCGTCAGAGGTACACAAATTATTTACCAAGAATTGGGCCCCGTGAGACTTGCAACCGGAACTCACAGGAATTTGACTCTTGGAATTATAAGCATATAATTACCTCCGTTACGATCAAGTTATCTCACTGAGTTTTCGGTCCGAAATTGAACCCACGGAAGATAATTCAAGTTACAACTGCTGACCCACTCGGCTATGAACTACCAGTGGAGAGGAAAGATCCTTTAGTGAGGTGCTTTCACAGGTTAGTAGACCAAAGAAAGTCCATATACTCGAAAAAAAAAA